CAGAGAGAGACCAGAGAGAGACCCAGAGAGAGACCAGAGAGAGAGAGAGACCCAAAGAGAGAGAGACCAGAGAGAGAGACCAGAGAGAGAGACCAGAGAGAGACCAGAGAGAGACCAGAGAGAGACTATAGAGACAGAGACCAGAGAGAGACCAGAGAGAGACTATAAAGAGACTATAGAGAGACCAGAAAGATACTAGAGAGAGACCAGAGAGAGACCAGAGAGAGACCAGAGAGAGAGACCAGAGAGAGACCAGAGAGAGACTAGAGAGAGACCAGAAAGATACTAGAGAGAGACCAGAAAGAGACCAAAGAGAGACCAGAGAGAGACCAGAGAGAGACCAGAGAGAGACCAAAGAGAGACCAGAGAGAGACCAGAATCGTGCTCCTCGCATTTCTCCGCACGGAAAGACAGAGACGAAGAGGAAGAGAATGAGGAAGAGTCTTGGTTTGATAATAACAAGAGCTGTGTTCTGTGTACGCACAACCAAAGACACACTTGTTTGGATTATTACCACTACAATGGAACACACACACAGGCGAACGCACACACACAAGCTAAAGCGCACACGGGCTAATGCACAATCAGGCGAACACACACACACATACAGGCTAACACACACACACAAACAGGCTAATGCACACAGACACGCACACACACACACGCACACACACACACACACACAGGCTGAAAACGCACACACAGACACACACAGACACACTCACACACAAACACACACACACAGACACGCACACAGACACGCACACAGACACACACACACAGACACACACACACAGACACGCACACAGACACACAGACACACACAGACACGCACACAGACACACACACACAGACACGCACACAGACACACACACACAGACACACACACACAGACACGCACACAGACACACACACATAGACACACACACACACAGACACACACACACACACACACAGACACGCACACAGACACACACACACAGACACACACACAGACACACACACACAGACACACACACACAGACACGCACACAGACACACACACACAGACACACACACAGACACACACACACAGACACGCACACAGACACACACACACAGACACACACACACAGACACACACACACAGACACACACACACAGACACACACACACACACACACACACACACAGACACACACACACAGACACACACACAGACACACACACACAGACACACACAGACACGCACACAGACACACACACATAGACACACACACACAGACACACACACACAGACACGCACACAGACACACACACATAGACACGCACACACACACAGGCTGAAAACGCACACACAGACACACACAGACACACTCACACACAAACACAAACACACAGACACACAGACACGCACACAGACACACACACACAGACACACACACAGACACACACACACAGACACACACACAGACATACCCACACACACACACTGACACACACAGACACACACACACAGACACGCACACAGACACACAGACACACACACAGACATACACACACACACACAGACATACCCACACACACACACTGACACACACAGACACACACACACAGACACGCACACAGACACACAGACACACACACACAAACATACACACACACACACACACAGACATGTATCTGGCAACACATGAATGGCGCCCGCTCCAAAGGGGATTGTCTTCTTCTTTGTGTTCAGTCTAAAGTTTAGAAGAGCGCGGGCGCCATGTTGGGGTCTTTTCCTGCATTTGTTTCTGTTGCTCAAATATAAACTGGTAAAAATAACCTGCGGATGTTTAAAAACACACACAGTTTTCTCGAGCAGGTGACAAAGAGAACAAAGCCGAGGCGGATTATGCTCGAGCAGGAGCGAGAATGAAGTAACGAGATTAAGAGAAACATTCATGTTTGGGAAAAGAAACGACACAGAAGAGAAGAGGAAGTGGAGCAGGCGAGATTAATCTGGATCCAACATGGAGGAGGACTCTACTCTACTCTACTCTACTCTACTCTACTCTACTCTACTCTACTCTACTCTACTCTACTCTACTCTACTCTACTGTACTCTACTGTACTCTACTCTACTCTACTCCAACCTACTCTACTCTACTCTACTCTACTCTACTCCAACCTACTCTACTCTACTCTACTCTACTCTACTCTACTCTACTCTACTCTACCTCTACTCTACTCTACTCTACCTCTACTCTACTCTACTCTACTCTACTCTACTCTACTCTACTCTACTCTACTCTACTCCAACCTACTCTACTCTACTCTACTCTACTCTACTCTACTCTACTCTACTCCAACCTACTCTACTCTACTCTACTCTACTCCAACCTACTCTACTCTACTCTACTCTACTCTACTCTACTCTACCTCTACTCTACTCTACCTCTACTCTACTCTACTCTACTCTACTCTACTCTACTCCAACCTACTCTACTCTACTCTACTCTACTCTACTCTACTCTACTCTACTCCAACCTACTCTACTCTACTCTACTCTACTCCCAACCTACTCTACTCTACTCTACTCTACTCTACTCTACTCCAACCTACTCTACTCTACTCTACTCTACTCTACTCCAACCTACTCTACTCTACTCTACTCCAACCTACTCTACTCTACTCTACTCTACTCTACACTCTACTCTACTCCAACCTACTCTACTCTACTCTACTCTACTCCAACCTACTCTACTCTACTCTACTCTACTCTACTCTACTCTACTCCAACCTACTCTACTCTACTCTACTCCAACCTACTCTACTCTACTCTACTCTATTCTACTATACTCCAACCTACTCTACCAGATGAACCAGTTCTATCTGTGTTCTTAATAAAGAATGAATTGAAATTGAATACTCTACTCTACTCTACTCTACTCTACTTCAACCTACTCTACTCTACTCCAACCTACTCTACTCTACTCTACTCCAACCTACTCTACTCTACTCTACTCTACTCCAACCTACTCTACTCTACTCTACTCTACTCTACTCTACTCTACTCCAACCTACTCTACTCTACTCTACTCTATTCTACTCTACTCCAACCTACTCTACCAGATGAACCAGTTCTATCTGTGTTCTTAATAAAGAATGAATTGAAATTGAATACTCTACTCTACTCTACTCTACTCTACTCCAACCTACTCTACTCTACTCTACTCTACTCTACTCCAACCTACTCTACTCTACTCTACTCTACTCCAACCTACTCTACCAGATGAACCAGTTCTATCTGTGTTCTTAATAAAGAATGAATTGAAATTGAATACTCTACTCTACTCTACTCTACTGGTCCTGGTTCCTTCCAGGTTGAGCTGCTACTAAAGTGTTCTAACTGACAGTGAATGAAGAGAGAGAAACCAGAGAGATGAAGACCAGAGAGTGACCAGAGAGAGAGTCAAGAGAGAGAGAGACCAAAGAGAGATAGACTAGAGAGAGAGACCAGAGTTAGAGTTCAGAGGGACACCAGAGCAAGAGACCAGAGAGACACAAGAAAAAGAGATCAGAGATTGACGAGAGAGACTAGAGAGAGACACCAGGGAGACCAGAGCAATACCAGAGAGAGAGAGAGACATTAGAGAGAGCACAGAGAGACCAGAGAGAGACATTAGAGAGAGCACAGAGAGACCAGAGATAGACATTAGAGAGCGCACAGAGAGACCAGAGAGAGACTTTAGAGAGAACACAGTTAGACCAGAGAGAGCACAGAGAGACCAGAGAGAGACATTAGAGAGAGTACAGAGAGACCAGAGAGAGACAGTAGAGAGAGCGCAGAGAGACCAGAGAGAGACATTAGAGAGAGTACAGAGACCAGAAAGAGACATTAGAGAGAGCACAGAGAGACCAGAGAGAGACATTAGAGAGAGACAGAGAGACCAGAGAGAGACATTAGAGAGAGCACAGAGAGACCAGAGAGAGACATTAGAGAGAGCACAGAGACATTAGAGAGAGCAGAGAGAGACATTAGAGAGAGCACAGAGAGAGACATTAGAGAGAGCACAGAGAGACCAGAGAGAGACATTAGAGAGAGCACAGAGAGACCACAGAGAGAGAGAGACACATGTTTATAA